CCCCAAAACCCCAAAACCCCAAAACCCCAAAACCCCATACTCTCAATTTGAGTAGAATAATAAGTAAAAAGTAATAGAATCCTCTGTGTAATCGAGAGGATAGCTACCTCTTGGAGGCCTTCTTCTTGGTCTCCTTCTTGTGGATTACCTCTTGGATAACTCCAACGGCAACGGTTCTCTTCATGTCTCTGATAACGAATCTACCTAAAGCGGCGTACTTGGAGAATTCCTCAACGCATAGTGGCTTGGTAGGAACGAGTTCGACAATACCAGACTCTCCATTCTTTAAGAATTTTGGAGCCTCTTCAATCAATTTTCCAGTTCTAGCTTCGTTTTTGGATAGCAAAGTTTTGAACTTGGTGGCAACGTGAGCAGTGTGAATGTCCAACACTGGCTGGTATCCTGCCTTGATATGACCTGGGTGATTCATAACAATAACCTGAGCAATGAAACTCTCTGCGTTTTTAGGTGGGTCATTTTTGGCATCACCACAAACATGTCCAGCTTTAATTTCTTTTGCTTCCAGCCTAACGTTAAATCCAACATTGAGTCCTGGCTCAGCTTCCTCTAGCTTGTTGTGATGAGCTTCTAAAGACTTTACTTCAGAAGTAGCTCCAGTGGTGAACTGAACTTCCATTCCTCTCTTAAGAACTCCGGTTTCAACTCTTCCGACTGGAACAGTTCCGATTCCAGCAATCTTGTAAACATCCTGAATTGGAATTCTGAGAGGCTTCTTAATTGGTCTCTTAGGGACCTTGAATTCGTCCAAAGCTTCAGTTAGAGTTGGACCCTTGAACCATGGAAGGTTTTCTGACTGCTCCATCATGTTGTCTCCATCAAATCCAGAGATAGGGATGTATTTAACATTTCCCTTCTTGTATCCGATTTTACCCAGATGGTCAGAGACGTTCTCTACGATCTCATTAAATCTCTCCTCATCGTAATCAATAGTGTCCATTTTGTTGATGGCAACAATGGCTTGCTTGATACCCATGGTGTATGCAAGCAAAGCGTGGTCCTTAGTGGATCCTTCTCTGCTGAATCCATCCTCGAATTCACCTTTCTTAGCAGCAATGATGAGGACTGCTGCGTCTGCCTGAGAAGTACCAGTGATCATGTTCTTAATGAAATCCTTATGTCCAGGAGCATCGATAATAGTGTAGCTCCTGGAAGGAGTATCAAACTGTCTCAAAGCACAGTTAATAGTAATACCTCTCTCCTGCTCAGCCTTAAGGTTGTCTAGCACAAAGGCGTACTTAAAGGAAGCCTTGTTAAGTTCGAGTGCTTTCTCTTCTAACTTTGCAAGAGTTCTCTCGTCAATACCTCCGAGCTTATAAATAAGGTGCCCAGTAGTGGTTGACTTTCCTGAGTCAACATGGCCAATGACGACCAAGTTAAGGTGATCTTTCTCTTTCCTTTCCATTAAGGTTAATATGCTTGTAATTAGTGATATAAAACTGAATTAATTTTCCTTGTTTTAAACTAAATTCACCCACAATAATTAAAGCGATAAATTTGTCATCTCTAATGGATTTTTTTGAAAAGGAAAATAATTCAACTTCTCATCAGAAATTCGGGGTTTTGGGGTTTTGGGGTTTTGGGGTTTTGGGGT